AACAATTTTATTTATAATCTAGGATACTGACTAGAAATCGAGGGGGTAAAACCATACAAAGAGCTTCCCATCGGCATAGAACCTGGGAAGCCTGATCTATCCAGCGCCAGTATTTGTAACGCCCCAGCAGTTACTGCTGGAACTACTGCGCATGACCTACATGACACCACCGACGACAGTGATGCAAAATCAGCATTACATAATCTGCGTTTAAAGAACATAGGTCGTATGACTATTGGGTATCTAAATATAAATTCCATTAGAAATAAATTTGATGCAATAAAAGCGATAGTTTCACAGAATCTTGACATTCTAATGGTCGCCGAAACAAAAATTGATGATTCATTCCCAAAGGGACAATTCTATATTGAAGGTTATGCTGATCCACTACGACTTGACAGAAATTGTGAGGGTGGCGGTCTGTTGGTCTATGTGAAAAGTGACATCACAATGAAGCAGTTAAAGTCATTTAAATTTGATCTTGACATTGAATGTATTTGTTTTGAAATCAATTTAAGGGGGAATAAGTGGGCTCTTTTCAGTGTTTACAGACCACCGTCCCAATCACAAGAACACTTTTTCGAAAAACTTGGCAAAGCAGTTGATCATTACAGTGAAAAATATGACAAATTTTTATTACTTGGGGATTTTAATACAGTAGAGACAGGTCAACAGATTCGTACTTTTATGAATAGTTATGACCTCAGAAATCTGGTGAAGGAGCCAACCTGTTTCAAGGCTGACAATCCACGGTGTATTGACCTAATCTTAACCAACAGATATAGGAGCTTCCAACATACCACCACTACCGAGACAGGTCTCTCTGACTTTCACAAAATGATAGTCACAGTTTTGAAAACGACGTACCAAAAGGCTGGACCTACTGTTATTAACTATAGAGAATATAAGAAATTTTCGGAGCAGACTTTCAAACAAGAACTTAAGGAAGAGTTGGCTAGCATTAAAACAACTGATTTAGACTACAGTTCTTTTCAAAATTGCTTTGAGAAGGTACTTGATAAGCATGCACCGATGAAGAAAAAATACGCAAGGGCCAATGATGGTCCCTTCATGAATCGAGTTCTTCGTAAAGCTACTATGCTGCGCTCTAGGTTGAAAAATAGATATAATAAAAGCCGCACAGCTGAACATTGGGAAGCGTTTCGTCGACAGCGTAATTTGTGTGTCAAATTATTTAGAACGGAAAAAAGAAATTTCTATAAAAATTTGAATACTTCTGATATTACAGACAACAAGAAATTTTGGAAAACTGTAAAACCTGTCCTTTCCGATAAAAGTCGATCGAACTCAAATATTACCCTTATCGATAATAATAGGATGATTTCCAATGATAAGGAAGTTGCAGAAGCCATGAACGATTATTTTATATCGATAACTGACTCATTAGGTCTGACAGGGAACAGGGAGGTTACCATAAGTACAGATGGTTTATCAGATCCTATAGAAAAGGCTATAATGAAATATTCAAAACACCCTAGCATTAGGAAAATTCGCAGTTTTGCTCGAATTAACGGCTACTTTAAATTCCAAGAGGTTACTGTGGAACAGATACACTCTGAAATTGAGGGGCTTAATCCTAAAAAGGCAACAACCTTTGGAAATATACCCGCGAGAGTGCTGAAAAATAGCTCTGACATTTGTTCCGAATCGTTGCAGCTTATTTTCAATAACTGCATTCAAAATGGTGTCTTTCCCGACCTATTAAAACTAGCAGATGTCACTTCCCTCCACAAATCGGAGGAGAAAACCAATAAGAAAAATTACAGACCGGTTAGTGTATTACTAACTGTTTCAAAGGTCTTTGAGAGACTTATGGATAAACAGATTATTGATTATATGCAATCTTATTTATCGTCACTTTTATGTGGTTTTCGTAAAGGGTACAATGTGCAGCACGCATTAATTCGAATGCTTGAAAAATGGAAAGCAAGCTTAGACAGGGGAGAAAATGTTGGCGCAATCCTTATGGATCTCTCGAAAGCCTTTGATTGTATTAAACATGACCTCCTTATAGCAAAACTAGATGCTTACGGATTCAGCCATGAAGCACTGTGTCTTGTTAACAGCTACTTGGAAAATAGGCATCAGAGAGTTAAGATTAATGGATCATTCAGTACCTACAAACAACTGTTCCTTGGTGTTCCGCAAGGATCAGTTCTTGGTCCTCTCTTCTTTAACATCTACATAAATGACTTACTTCTCTCCTTAATGGATACGGATATCTGCAATTAGGCGGATGATACAACACTATATGCGTGCGATAAAAATCTCAATAATGTAATTGCAAGGCTAGAGAATAACTCAAGTATAACTATCCAATGGTTCGCTGATAACTTTATGAAGTTGAATACAAACAAATGTCATTTACTTATTCTTGGCAAAAGTTCTAATCAACAGGTTAAAGTTAATGTAGGAGATTCTATCATAGAAAACTCGGAAGAGGAAAAGCTACTAGGTGTTGTGATAGACAAAAAACTCAGTTTTGAGACACATATCAGTAAGTTATGTAAGAAGGCTGGTAGCAAACTCACCGCCCTCGCTCGCATATCTGGATACATGGACGCTAATAAACTTAAAATCTTAATGAGAGCATTTGTAATTAGCCAATTCGAATATTGTCCACTAGTCTGGATGTTCCACAGTAGGCACTTGAATAGTAAGATTAATAGAATACACGGAAGAGCTCTGAGAATTGCATACAAAGACTATGATTCTAGCTTCAACACTCTGCTAGAAAATGATGGCTCGGTAAATATTCATGTAAAACACCTGCGAAATCTTATGATTGAAATGTTTAAAACAAAGGGAAATATCAACCCTCCTTTTATGAGGGAGATTTTCTGCGAGCGTCATGCTGTTTATAATTTGAGAAATAATAATGAATTTATGGCACCAAGAGTAAGAACAACCATTTATGGAACCGAAACTATCAAATATAGAGGGCAGCGTCTTTGGCTCTCTTTACCTCAGCACATAAGGAATGCTCAATCTATTAATGAGTTTAAGAAAGAAATTAAAAGCTGGAATGGCACAGACTGTACATGCAAACTATGTAGGACGTTCGTGCCACAACTTGGTTTTTTGTAATTCTATCTTTTAAATAGCTCAGGTTTTTATAGTTTTTTAATGGATCATTTTGTATTTAAAATTTTATGTATTTAATCTCGTATGTATTTAGTTGATGTAGTAGTTTTAACAGTTGGCTTGGATTAGCTCATTTCTTTGTAAATAGCTATGTAGCGCCAACTTTAAATAAATTGATTATTATTATTATTATTATAGACAATTCGATGTTTTTCATTCGATGTTTATGTGATTATTGTTTATAGGGAAAAATTGGGGAGGCACGGAGTCATGCTAAAACGTTAGTGACCGATGTTGGGGAAAGAGAGTAAAGTGCCATCATACAATGGGCCATCAAACTTTTGTGATAAAAAATGTCAAACTTCGAACAGTAAAGTATTGTAAAATTTGCTGCTACATTGTAAAATTCCTGACACCATGTGTTGTTTGATACCGAGCGTTTTGACACAAAAAATATATCATTTTTGTTCCCTCCAAAGCTAAGACTTTTATACAATATTTAAACTTAGGTACTAAACAGCCTTTCACAAGCACTGTTACGCCATTAAATTTTATGAATATATATGAAACGAAACCTCGAGTGCTTGCACAAGTCACTTGGGTTGAGTGAGTGAGTGAGTGAGTGAGTGAGTGAGTGAGTGAGTGAGTGAGTGAGTGAGTGAGTGAGTGAGTGAGTGAGTGAGTGAGTGAGTGAGTAGTGAGTGAGTGAGTGAGTGAGTGAGTGAGTGAGTGAGTGAGTGAGTGAGTGAGTGAGTGAGTGAGTGAGTGAGTGAGTGAGTGAGTGAGTGAGTGAGTGAGTGAGTGAGTGAGTGAGCATAACTCCCTGATACAATTTTCTACTCCTTATAAAGCGTCCACGATGACTCTTACTTATATACTTACAAAACTTGCTTTTGTTGTAGTACAAAGGCGGCATCTAGCTTGAATATATGTAAATACGTAAGTAAGAGGTGATAAATATATTAGATACGCGGGGGAACTTTGTAGGGTAAAAGGACATGCAAAATATTACGTTACCTGAAAACATGAAAAACTAACACGTGATAAATTAATATATCCTAAATCATAAACAAAGAGAAGCATTAACAAATATAAGCATGAACGCGAGAATGACCCACAGTAAAATAAGTACCTATATTACAGTATTACCAAGATATCTTAGTATTGCGAAATATACATGTAAATAAAAAAGATTGAAAATCAGTATAGTTAATCACCATCAACATCGACCAAAATTGTATTTTCTGCTGTCGCATTTCTGACAAATTCTTTTGCTAAATTACTTAGATTCAAAGTATCTGTTCATTTTATGTGAGTATGCAATATGGCTATTGAGTTGAATCGCGATGTCAATATTTTGGAACGTAGCCATATTTTCAATCTTTCGTGCAAGGATTAAGCATCCAAAATGAAGCCAGAAATTGCTTTACCAGGCACCGCGGAGAAGGGGTTCTATAGTCCCCCCTCTTTTTGCAAAAATGCAAAAAAATTACCAATGAGTCACCAGTCAAGCCACTTATTATTCGGTTTTAGCCCCTCCCACTTATTTTAAACCCCCCCCATATTTCTCGATGCTCCGCGGTGCCTGTTTGCTAAATTAATGCAAACAATTCACAAAATGATAGAAACAATAGAAATATACGTATAAATAAGTTAGTAGATGGATAAAAAAATCGGAGATAGACAGTTTGTTCATTTTTATTTCATACTCTGTTTTTTTAAATAATAGAAAAAACAGTAAAAAGATATTATCTTGGAAAAAGCTTCAGCCCTCAGCCCCCTAGTGGTGCCGTGCCTGTTACCAATATATTAGCCAAGAATCCCCCCCTCCCCAAGATGGTGAGGGTTGGCCTTTCATGTACAAAAACATATGCAAGGGCATCAACAACAACGACAACAAAGTCCCAATTCCAATCCAAAGTTCAAAAGTTCGTGCTGGAAGACTGGTGGAATGGAAGAAGACACAAGTAAATCTGGTCCACAGAGAGACCAGAGCCATCAGGATCATAAAGCTGAGTTAAGCATGGCCTCTTCCAGCTCTAAAGAAAGTGGATCTCGCTTTCAGTATACTCTTGATAATGCGATATTGACAAAAGACCAGCGACTATTCTATGAAGAGAATGGCTTTTTGGTTGTGAAAGGTCTTGTTCCAAGCACGAATATTGAGAAATATCGCCAAAGGTAGTTCCAATTCATATGGTTAAGGCTTTTTACAGTGTAATTGCTGTGTGCTTGTGTCACATTTTCCTTTCAATTATATAGTTTTTTATATGTTATTGTACAAATAAACTGTTAATACTTTGGTCGTAAATAAAACTACAAATACCAGGTGAATTAGTAACAAAATTAGTGAGTTAAGATATTTAAAAATATGATTTTTCCATAATCAATCAATTTAATAAAACTCACACTATCTGAATATTTTTGCTATTTATGGTATAGCCATAGGCCTAGGACCCACTGTGTCCCAGGTTCAAGAGTATGACCAAATTTGACCATACATCATGCAGTAGAAAAAGCAAATACCCTTGACCTTTTTCTGACGTCTAACCCCAACAGAACGCTTTTGATAGTTGGGGTAGACTGTGCACCTCTTGGCAAATCTGACCACTGTCTAATAACCTTGCAACATTTGCTTCCTTCTCACCAGGCTAGTACTTTCTCTCCCTCAGAAAGTTTTCGATCAAAACAAAGTTGACTGGGACTATTCTGCACTTTCTTTTCCTCATACTCTTGGTCTTCAGGTTCTACTATTGACCGATCTGCTTCTGCTTCATTTATGGAATTCTTTTTGATGGTATATGGACCTTTTTATTCAATCTTTTTCCCCCAAACACCTCAATCTAGAGCTTCCTATGTCTTTGCTTGCAACTTATGCACCAAATTTATCAATAAAGAAAAAGCTTACTTTTGCCAATCCTCATTCCTTCTTTGAGAAATGAAAGTGAACCTCTTCTAGCACTACATCAGCCAAAGCCAGCCTCTTTGTATCAATCTTAGCCTCCAATTCAAATGTTGATGATCAAGGATTACAACCTTGTCATTAACCCCCTTCATCTCTATCGGTGTTACCAATCAAGTCAGCAAAGCTCCTCTTTTACTAAACATCTCTAAATTGATAGGACATGACAATATACCAGCAGTTGTTCTCAAAACTTGTGCCCCAGAACTGGCAAAAATTTTTTATAATAAATTTTTCCAGCTCTCCTATTCACTAAGCATTTTTCCAGCCTTGATTCAATTGCTAACACTAGCCCACATTTTCCTGTTCCTAAGAAGGGGGACAACTAGTATCCAACCATCATTCAATGGCAATCACTTTCCTTATCTTCCAGGGTGCATTGCATGTAATTAAGCCTGAAGATTTTCAGCACACAGTCAGGTTTTTTCGGTGTTTGGTGTGCAAAGCAGTAAACAAATTTTTTATGTAAAAAATTTTCGTTATTTGGCCGCCTGCTAAACATGAAGCCATCTACATAGTTAACATGCAAAAGAATAAAATAAGGACTCATATGTCACAATTTTCTCCTGTTAATCAGTTTTCTTTGTCTGGTGTACAATATTTACAGTTTTACTAACTGCTCATATTTTTAGTGCCTAAACAAATGCCCCAGTGGACTTTCAGCATTCAGTTTACAGAAAATGCACCCTGGTTCATTTCTAAAACAATGTAGACAATCAAGCAACTTCTTATCTTCCTAAAACCAACACCTTTCTAATCACCAGTATGGTTTTTGCCAAGCAAGATCTACGCGTTATCTTCTAGATTATGCTACTGGCAAATCAAAATTGTAAACATAAGGATGATTTATGCATTAGACGAGCAGGATACATTATAAAAAGAAGGTAGTTGTGATAAAATTGATTTTAGAACCCAATGAAGGAAACAAATATCATACATTGCAAATTTAGGAAACATACCCAATGCTAACCAAGAAACATTTGTTAGCACACTGAGATTATTTTTTTCTCATGTATATTATTGTAATGTAACAATTTTCTATTTTTGATATATAGATTCCAAGAAATCTGCAATGGAAATGTATCGGTTCCATTTTTAACAGTTATGAAGGACATAACTCATGTTAAAAAGGGGGATAACAGGCAAGAAAAGACTATAAATAAAATCCAAGATTTTCAAATGGATGGTGTTTTATCAGAATATTTTAAACTACCACAGATTCTGAAGTATGTGCAATGCTTTACAGGGCCAGATATGTTGGCTGTGCACACTATGCTTATAAACAAGGTCAGATTTTATAACTTTTTAGATTTCAAATAAAGTAAAAACCTTTGTGTAAGAAGACAATTTTTTTAGAGTTTAGCAACACAGGCCCTTGTATTATGGGGTACACTCACCTCATGAAAGTACCTGGACAGTCAAGGATTTGATTGCGCTTTCAGACAAAATCAAATTTAGGCTGGCTATAACGACTTTTTAACTTACGACTTAGTGACAATAATTATTGAGAAACCCTTCAAAAATAAACCAGAACATCAAAACAGGTGACTTGGACTCAATTAAAATGGGCCACTTAAACTTGGTAGTTTTTTACAAACTGGTTCTTGAGACGCAAATATTTTTGAATAAAGAGAAATACAATGTGTTTATTCTCAGTTGGGAAAAATGTTTGCATGGAGATGCCATCCAAAGGATTCTAAAACATGGATGACATTTGGTAACATTTTGCCAGATCAAAGACTTTCTATCAAAGAAGACACATCATTCAGTGCAGGGCCATAAAGCCATATTATTTCTTTACTGCTGCAAGTCTTGCTGAAATCAGTCTGTGCAAGGGTACATTGACAAATTCTTTACAATTTTCCTTGCAATAGTTATAAACAGCTTTTGAAAGTTCAATTGTTTGTGAACATTTAATCCAATTTTGCCTAATAATGCAAACCAGTTTGGATGCAAATTTGGTTAGGGTAGAAGGCTCAGACGTTGCTGTCGCAAGAGCTCTTGCTCTTTTTGACCGTGAAAAATGTTTTAGACTTCTTGTTTTTCAATTTTTTTTGCATATCTCGAAAGCAGCAGTCTTTGTGCATCCAATGATACTAGCAATTAAATAATAGCTTTTTCCCATCATTGTGATAAAACATTATTTCTAGACACTGCTCGGAAGTCAATTCTTTTGTTTCAGTTGCTATCATCTTGAGGAAAAACCCTCACAGAGTGTGCTTACATATGTATCGATAAGATTATTTTTTCGATGATTAAGTAGATTAAAGGATAACAGAACTTCAAGAAAAATTTTAGGAAATTGATGAAAACGTTTTCATGAAAACTATCTTTAAAAATTGTAAACAAATTTCTCTAATAACATATTGGCAACTGAATTCGAAACTATCTGGATACTTTCGCGAGGGAAGTGTACTTAATGACAGTATAGGCGAAATAGGTTCTTAATTAGGTTTTTAATTTATGCAGAGTAGATATTGTTTATGATGAGAAAATGCATTAAATCTGGTCTGTTTTTCATTCTAAATATTTTTTGGTGTACCAATGTTTCAAAAGGTCCACTGACATTTAACATACATTGTGCATTTGAGTTTCATTTTAACAATTCAATTTTAGCAATTCAGGTTTTGGTAATAAAGCATATAAATTAAATGGTTTAACTAACATATAAGAACCTGTTGGGAATTGTTTGGCTAAATAGGTTCTTTTATTTTTTTATTTCTGCCAAAAGGTACTTAAATTGCTAGTATCACTAAAAACTCATTGCTATGTTTTATAATAAAGTTAGATGAACGTTTTAACTCATAGAACATGAATTAAAGATAAGTTTTAGTTACCTTTTGAACTCATGCTTATATTTTTACTTTTGCTTTTAACAAGTCCCAGACTGGTAGCAGCTTCATTAAGCTGAATCTGGTGACCTGTATAAATATCATATTATTATTATTCATTATTATTATCATATACTTCTGCTTTAAGCACTGGCAATTCTAATAGCCAACTTTACACCCCAAGGGAGCAGGTCAAAACTTTGTGATTAAAAAATTGTCAGCAATAATTATACGCACATTTTATTATATATTCTGTATGTGCAATAAGACTTGGACAAACCCTGAACTGCTCTCCTTCTAAAGATACTACAAACTCTTACGATTTTATTTTTATATTAAAACTTTTGTAAATTTGTCACCAGGCTTGCCGATAGTAACTACCTGTAAAGTGAGGTTACTATTGTATGTAGAAAAATCTAAAATAAAAATCTTTTCATTATTGTTATTATTATTATTTTTATTCTTATTATTATTTTTCTTATTATTATTATTTCTATTATTATTATTATTATTATGTTTTCCTTTTTGCACAGGCTGTTCTTTCTGCCAATTACTACCTCTTGAGCGAGCCACAACTAGTAGCCAAAGACCAAGAGGTCTCTCACTTTCACCTTTCATTTCCAACACCATCCGAAGTATCCTAGCTGTTCCCAGCAAAGCTGTTTTTTGCACCAAACTTCTGTTCCTAATTTTTCAATCCATCCATTGAAGCCTTTGCTAACACAACCCATTGCCTCCACACCTACCGGTACAACTTGCGCTTTTTTCAGTGACCAAAGCAAGATACTTCTCAATTTTTTCCCTTTCTTTGTCAAAGACCCTATTATCGCCTGGGACTGCAACGTCAATGATTACACACGATTTTGTCTTCTTCTCTACTAGTATCAAGTCCGGCCCTCTAGCCTCAATAATATTATCACATTGGATGTTAATATCCCATATTAGTTTTACTTCATCGTTCTCTATGGCTCCATCTGGGCAATGTTCATACCACTTATCTTATCTTTCCTTTCAAATCCATACTTCTCACACAACTTCCAATGTATGGGGTTAGCAATATTATCACGCCTTCCCTTGTACTCCCGCTGGGCTTGTTTTTTTACATTCGCATATCAGATGTTGCACAGTCTCCCCTTTTTCCCGCACAACCTACACATTGGACTTTCATTGGTTTTATCGATTTTATTGTTAATATAATTTAATATAATATATTTATAATATAGTTCCTGTGCAGCGAATATTAGTGCCTCAGTTTGAACTTTAAGGTCACTTTGTAGCACCCATTTCCACGATAGATCCTTATCTTTTTCTTCACTCATTTCACGCTCATACTGCCCATACATTATTTTCTCTTGCCATTTCGCTTTAGTCGTGTTTTGATTTCTCCTTTTGAATCCTTCCTTCTGCAGCAGGTTTGCAGTGTCAATGATACCAACTGCTTTTACACCTTTTAGAGGTTCTTCATCTGAATCCCGAACATACAGTCCCAAATTGTTCTCCTCACTTCGTATACAATCTTTAATGCCAATCAAACCTCTTCCACCATCCTTCCGTTTTACATAAAGTCGGTCAACGTCACTTTTCTGATGGAATGCACCGTACATACTCGAAATCTTTTGTGTTATTTTCGTGTTCTATCAAGTGTTTTCAATTTATCAACTTTCCAATCCATAATTCCCGCTCCGTATCTAAGAAGTGAAACGGCCCAAGTATTGATTGCTTTGATCTTATTTTTGCCATTGAGTTTCAATTTAAGTACTAATTTTAACCTTCTCTTATATTCAGAGCTGATTTTATTTTTCATTTCTTGTTCTTTTATGCTATCCAGTTCTGGAATACTAAGGTGTGTATACCCATTTCATCTACCCCTCTCATTATTTCTTCATTTGGCAGTTGGATTCCATCAAACCTAACCACTTGTCCTCTCTTCAGGACAACCACTGCACACTTCTTCAAACCAAATTCCATACCAATGTCCTCAATAAAAAGATACACTGTCTGTACTAGGCTATTAATCTGGTTTTTGTTCTTTCCAAAGAGCTTAAGGTCATCCATAAAAAGTAAATGGTTCAACTTGTATTCTTTCTGGCTCCATTCATATGATGCTTTTACTTTTCGTAAGAGTAGGGAAAGTGGGATCATGCATACGACAAAAATCAGGGGAGAAAGGCTATCTCCTTGGAATATGCCTCTATTGACATCCACTTCACATAAATCGAATCCATTGGAAGTCAAGAGGAGTTTCCATTCCTTCATAATTTCTTTAATAAAGTCTGTGATTTTTCCAGCTATACCACATAATTCAAGACACTCTAAGATCCAACTATGGGGGATAAGATCGTAGGCCTTTCTATAATCAATCCATGCCATGACCAGATTTGTTTTTTTTTTCTTACAATCTTTTTGAACTGCTTTATCAATTAATAGTTGATCTTTGGTTCCCCTACTTTTTCTTCCGCATCCTTCTTGCTCCTCTGGTAGTAGATTTTCACTTTCCAGCCATTGGTATCTGACTCTTATACTGCGCTGTTCTCTGTTCGTATCTGGTGATCTTAGCAGCTTTAGCATGGATTCTTTGCTTTATTTCTTCGATCACAGTTGTTAGCCCTTTCCGCTTTACTCTGTATTTTCGCTTCAAAAGTTTAACTTTGCCTTCTCGGCGCTCATGTACCTCTCCTTTTCTCAATCTTGCTAGAAAGCTAACATCTTTTTTTAGCTGCCTTATATCACATTCAATACATCTTTTCCACCAAGGCTCTTTTTCCTTTCTTCCTTTATATGGCTTAAGACCAAATTGGTCTGCTACCCAAACACTCGCAGCTTTTATTAGATTGTTCGTTTGGGTTATGTGTGTTGTTTCGATTATTTCAATAACCCTGTTTACTCTTGTTGTGTGTCTATTCGAGCAGTATGGAGCAAGACCGCAGAGCATATTAAAGATCGAGGTGTCTAAAACGTTCTGGGGGGCTAAACATTCTAAAAACAAAGAGCGGGGCGATTTTTGGTATGATTTATGCACATTTTGGAAATTATTTGGAAATTACTTTTACAAAATTATGCTCTTGTTTCTTTTTTTCAGCCTCCCGATCCTGGAACCAGAACTTCAAGGCACCCGCTGCATCAAGATCTTCATTATTTTCCTTTCAGGCCTGCTGATAGAATAGTTTGTTCCTGGACAGCCATGGAGAAAGTAGACCGTTCCAATGGTTGCTTGGTTGTTCTTCCAGGTACCCACAAGGGAACACTTTTGAAACATGATTATCCAAAATGGGAGGCAAGTTTTATGTTTATTCCTGGAAAATCTTTTCTCTAGTTTTATCAAGTTATCCGGGGGAGGGGTTGAGTAACTCTTATGTGTAGCTTAACAGGGCTATGCTGCCAATATGGGTGGGTTGGGAGTCGTAAAAACCCCTCAATACGGTTCCTTAAAATGCATTGATTTCAATGAAATGGGCTAGCTCCACTGTCAAGAATCCTCAATTTTATGTTTACACAGAATTCCTTCTGCCCAAAGGTGCTGTTTGTTCTGCAATGTATATAATATGTCTGTTGTAGTTTGTTCTTTTTTCAGGCTCTTCCAAGCTACTTAGAGTTGATTTCATAAACTTCAAAACTGGTTTTTTTTTCCAAATCCCTAAAAGTGGGTAATTCTGCTTTATTGGGCAGCATTCCCCAATCATTCTTTGGTTGTATTCTTTTTTAGTTTTTCTTTTAATGCAGAAGATTTGATAAGTACCTTCTTAGAGAAAGACCTGCAACTAAAAGCTACTACGTTTTCCACTATGTTGATTTTTATTTACTGTTGTTTTTTATTATCTTTTTTAGCTATCAAAAGTTTAAGAATTTTCAGGTTCCACACTTGTTATAGATTATGCATTGATACTATAAGAATCTTTTATTTCCATCAAAAATAGAATGGAGTTAATAAATTCTACCATGGAATTCAAGACTACGATCCAAGTTCACAGCGAATTCATTTAGAAATGGATGAAGGCGATACTGTGTTTTTCCATCCTATATTGATTCATGGCTCTGGCACCAACAAAACAAACCGTTTTAGGAAGGTATGCACAGGATAACTAAAATTGCTTTTTGCACATTTTTAACAGTTTCAACTGACATCTGTGGGTATTTTTTGGCTTTCTGTATTTTGAAGTATTGATTATAACATTCCTTTGCTGAAAGTTTGCCTTATCAAAATTTCAGTTTAGGCCTGACTTAGGTTGGTAAATTTAGTAAATTTAGTGAGATTTGTAATTATTTCAATTTCCCTTAAGTTATCGTAAGACCAGGGTTTTTTCCAAACAGAAGCTTTAAAAATGCTCCTTGGAACATCTTTTTCCATCTTTTTCCATCTTTTTCCAAAACTGAACAAGAAGAGACAATTTTGATATCATGTTTGGAAAGGCCTCTCTCTATAGAATTTTTAAAGATTCTGTTTTTTCAATATTCTCGAAAGACAGATTCTGAATAAAAACAAAATTGCCTATTTACTGACAGGCCATTTCATGTCACTTTTCAACTGCTGATTGCCATTATATAAATGTACGTGGAACGAGTCAAGAGAATATTGAAGATGAGATAGTGCAGCTGGCTAAAAAGAGATTCGGTGATGATTTCCAAATAGACCTTGAGGTATGTCAGGTGAAATATGATCTTGAAAAACCATGCATTACCTTGTACTTGTATTTTTCAAAACTGCACCAAGACATGTCAAATGTATTTTTTTCTTTACACACTGGCCAGTTCTTAATGTCTTAATTAATGTTGGAAATTTTTGTAGTTTTCACAATTAGTGTATAATGCTACAAAGCAGAAAAAAGTATATATTTTTATCCGTTCGAGGGCATTTCTTTATTTGTTCAGTTGGGGCTCAAGAAGCTAACTTTTGCTCATTTCAAAGTAATCGACCTCTTTAACAGGGTTGTATCTTCTGTTGATGGATTTTTAAAGGCAGTCTGTCCCCTATGGTGCTCAACTTTATTTTCACGGGAGTGAAATTCATGCACCGTTGAGCTTGATCGATAATTAAACGATTTGAACCAATCAGAGACAACATGGATTCCAGAGCTTTTGAATCAAATGGCTGTGTTCCCGTTGAAAGGAAACTGTGGCTAGAAAAATTTTGTTCCCTGTTTGGTTTTTTCGACAGATATGTCAGCAGCAAAGGGAATGCTTCCGTTATCATCAGTCAATTCCAGTAATTAAATCTTTTTGCCATTCCCGATAGCTTTTTGCTCGCAGTTTCAAATGTCGTCCACTACCGCAGCTAGGCCAGCCACTATTGTTCATATTAGCCAATCATTGAGGGGACAGACTGCCTTTAAACATATGGGTCCTTAAAACATGGAGGCTTTGTTCTTCTTGAAGGTCCCTAAAGGTCCGAAGGATTTCCTTTTGTTTAAAAATGTTTGTGTCATCTTCATCTCCAATTATTTTTCTTCTGAATAAAAGCTTTTGCATTGTTCATTAGGCGAGCAAAATTATTGCACCACTTCGGCGAATGAATAAATGCGTCAGAGTTGTGATCAATTTGCCCTGTGAAATTCAAACCACTTCTGTCAAGCCATTAGGCGTCATTCCATGATTAAAACACAATAAAAAAAGCTTGAAACCATTGGCAATACTTTCCATTTTAATTTTGAGAAAGATATCCTTTTTAAAATATCAGCAAAGTTAATTTTTCATTGGACAGTCATGAAGTTTTCAAACCCTTGTACCCAATACCTACATCTCTAGAAAAAAACTATAGCAGCGGTTGATGTTATAAAAGATAGTCTGAATGACTCGTTATTTGTTTTCAGATGTAAACAGTTTATTTAATCTGAACACCACCCCCCTTACTAGTGAGAGCAGAATTCGCCTTGGCAGATAACCTGCACTCTTTTTATCTTGATAGTGGCTACATAGACTTACTCCATGAGCCTCTGTTTCGCTAGTGCCTCACTTTACGTTCACTACAACACTTTACCCCATGAGCCTCTGTTTTTGCGTCCATCAAGTAAGGGAGTAGTGAAACAGAGGCACGTGGACTAAGTCTAGTGGCTTCAGTCGATTTGGTTGTGAATCAATCTTAATTCTGATATGATTCCTTTGATTTTCAGCTTGCGTGGAAGATGAAGAGCGTTCCTGTGCATCTAAACAAATCCAAATTATGAACGCCGGTCCATGTGCATAGAACGAGATTGTATCTGTTGGTCAATTTGCTTAACATTTGCTTGTCTTAATTAGAGTTACCAAATTGGAGTGAATTCCCATTGTACTTTATTGTATTGTAAAGTTGTGATTTCTTAGCTTAATTGAATATTTAAATGTATGCTTGACATTTTTATGAAAAGTTTGTGGACATCTTGAAACATGACAATTGCCGTTTAACACACTGCTTTTTATTTTTTATTGAAAAGATGAATTAAGGTCTTTGTTTAACGTTGATTAATGCAATAACTTTTCATTCGAATTGGCTTTCAGAAAAAATAGACTGATCACGATTCGTCAAATGCTGAGGGACGTGAGCACCATCTGCTCGAATATTGCAAGATAACCTGGAGAAGTCAACCAATAATGTTGCATCCAAAGGTATCTTCTAAAAGATTCCTTTATTGTTTTCTGTTGGCTGGAATTTTGATGATTTCTTATATTCACACACTTTTATGTGATGGAATCACTGCAAAAATGTCCATCAAATGTTCAAATGTTAGGGATTAAGAACGTTAGATTCAGGACCCGGCCCTAATATGAAATTCGTGTTGGTTCGATGCAAAAGCGCAAAATTTTGTCTCAAAACTGCTTTAAAATTCTAGTAAAGGCCCCTAAAAAAGTTTTCCTAACAGCTCTAAGGTTTTTTAGAAATTACAGAATTAGCGAAATCTTATCTACAAATTTTAATCAAAATTTTTAGATAGACTTTGAAAATCAAAATTTTCCTAGGTCAACAGTCAAAGCTGGTCCAAAATGATTATAGAAGATTCTAAAGGGATTTTAGCGTGCTTATGAGCTCTAAGGAGTTCTAAAGATTAAAGAATGTATGTGAAAGGGGCTATATGGGGTTAAAAATTTTCACCAAAACCTAAGCCTATAGCCTTGAAAAAATCGCATTTTTTCAAGGTCAACTTTTTGTCTCAAATCTACTCCAAAATGATCACCAAGAGCACTAAAATGATTTTAAGTTGATTATGACCTAAAGCATCTACTAGAGATGGCAAAATGAGTGACAGTTTGGGGCTCAAAATCTTCACCAAAACCTAAGCCTATAGCCTTTGATAAAATCGCAATTATTCAAGGTCAACTTTTTGTCAAAAATCTACTCCAAAATGATTGCAAAAAGCACTAAAATGATCTTAAATTGATTATGAGCTATAGCATCTACTAGAAATGGCAGAATAAGTGACAGTTTGTGGTTAAAAATTTTCACAGAAACCTAAGCCTATAGCCTTGAAAAAATTGCATTTTTTCAAGGTCAACTTTATGTCTAAAATCTACTCCAAAATGATTGCAAAGAACACTTAAATGATTTTAAGTTGATTATGAGCTCTAGCATCTACTAGAGATGGCAGAATAAGTGACAGTTTGGGGTTAAAAATTTTCACCAAAACCTAAGCCTATAGCCTTTAAAAAATCGCAATTTTTCAAGGTCAACATTTCGTCAAAAATCTACTCCTAAATGATTGCAAAGAGCACTAAAATGATTTTAAGTTGATTATGAGCTATAGCATCTTCTAGAGATGCCAAAATAAGTGACAGTTTGGGGTTTGAAATTTTCACCAAAACCTAAACCTATAGCCTTGAAAAATTCGCAATTTTTATAAGGTCAACTTTTTGTCAAAAATCTACTCCTAAATGATTGCAAAGAGCACTAAAACGATTTTAAGTTGATTATGAGCTATAGCATCTTCTAGAGATGCCAAAATAAGTGACAGTTTGGGGTTTGAAATTTTAACCAAAACCTAAGCCTATAGCCTTGAAAAAATCGCAATTTTTATAAGGTCAACTTTTTGTCAAAAATCTACTCCTAAATGATTGCAAAGAGCACTAAAACGATTTTAAGTTGATTATGAGCTATAGCATCTTCTAGAGATGCCAAAATAAATGACAGTTTGGGGTTTGAAATTTTCTCCAAAACCTAAGCCTATAGCCTTGAAAAAATCGCAATTTTTATAAGGTCAACTTTTTGTCAAAAATATACTCCTAAATGATTGCAAAGAGCTCTAAAATGATTTTAAGTTGATTATGAGCTATAGCATCTTCTAGAGATGCCAAAATAAGTGACAGTTTGGGGTTTGAAATTTTAACCAAAACCTAAGCCTATTGCCTTGAAAAAATCGCAATTTTTCAAGGTCAACATTTCGTCAAAAATCTACTCCTAAATGATTGCAAAGAGCACTAAAATGATTTTAAGTTGATTATGAGCTATAGCATTTTCTAGAGATGCCAAAATAAGTAACAGTTTGGGGTTTGAAATTTTCTCCAAAACCTAAGCCTATAGCCTTTAAAAAATCGCAATAATTCAAGGTCAACTTTTTGTCAAAAATATACTCCAAAATGATTGCAAAGAGCACTAAAATGATTTTAAGTTGATTATGAGCTATAGCATCTACTAGAAATCGCAGAATAAGTGACAGTTTGTGGTTAAAAATTTTCACAGAAACCTAAGCCTATAGCCTTGAAAAAATTGCATTTTTTCAAGGTCAACTTTATGTCTAAAATCTACTCCAAAATGATTGCAAAGAACACTTAAATGATTTTAAGTTGATTATGAGCTCTAGCATCTACTAGAGATGGCAGAATAAGTGACAGTTTGGGGTTAAAAATTTTCACCAAAACCTAAGCCTATAGCCTTGAAAAAATCGCATTTTTCAAGGTCAAATTTATGTCTAAAATCTACTCCTAAATGATTGCAAAGAGCACTAAAACGATTTTAAGTTGATTATGAGCTATAGCATCTTCTAGAGATACCAAAATAAATGACAGTTTGGGGTTTGAAATTTTCTCCAAAACCTAAGCCTATAGCCTTTAAAAAATCGCAATTTTTCAAGGTCAACATTTCGTCAAAAATCTACTCCTAAATGATTGCAAAGAGCACTAAAACGATTTTAAGTTGATTATGAGCTATAGCATCTTCTAGAGATGCCAAAATAAGTGACAGTTTGGGGTTTGAAATTTTCACCAAAACCTGAGCCTATTGCCTTGAAAAAATCGCATTTTTTCAAGGTCAACTTTATGTCTAAGATCCACTCCCAAATGATTGCAAAGAGCACTAAAATGATTTTAAGTTGATTATGAGCTATAGCATCTTCTAGAGATGCCAAAAGAAGTGACAGTTTGGGGTTTGAATTTTCTCCAAAACCTAAGCCTATAGCCTTTAAAAAATCGCAATTTTTCAAGGTCAACATTTCGTCAAAAATCTACTCCTAAATGATTGCAAAGAGCACTAAAATGATTTTAAGTTGATTATGAGCTATAGCATCTTCTAGAGATACCAAAATAAATGACAGTTTGGGGTTTGAAATTTTCTCCAAAACCTAAGCCTATAGCCTTTAAAAAATCGCAATTTTTCAAAGTCAACTTTTTGTCAAAAATCTACTCCTAAATGATTGCAAAGAGCACTAAAACGATTTTAAGTTGATAATGAGCTATAGCATCTTCTAGAGTTGCCAAAATAAGTGACAGTTTGGGGTTTGAAATTTTCACCAAAACCTAAGCCTATAGCCTTTAAAAAATCGCAATTTTTCAAGGTCAACTTTTCGTCAAAAATCTACTCCTAAATGATTGCAAAGAGCACTAAAATGATTTTAAGTTGATTATGAGCTATAGCATCTTCTAGAAATGCCAAAATAAGTGACAGTTTGGGGTTTAAAATTTTCACCAAAACCTAAGCCTATAGCCTTGAAAAAATCGCAATTTTTGAAAGTCAACTTTTTGTCAAAAACCTACTCCCAAATGATTGCAAAGAGCACTAAAATGATTTTAAGTTGATTATGAGCTATAGCATCTACTAGAGATGGCAAAATAAGTGACAGTTTGGGTATTGAAATTTTCACCAAAACCTAAGCCTATAGCCTTGAAAAAATTGCAATTTTTCAAGGTCCATTTTTTGTCAAAAATGTACTCCTAAATGATTGCAAAGAGCACTAAAATGATTTTAAGTCGATTATGAGCTATAGCATCTTCTAGAGATGCCAAAATAAGTGACAGTTTGGGGTTTGAAATTTTCACCAAAACCTAAGCCTATAGCCTTGAAAAAATCGCAATTTTTCAAGGTCAACTTTTTGTCAAAAATGTACTCCTAAATGATTGCAAAGAGCACTAAAATGATTTTAAGTCGATTATGAGCTATAGCATCTTCTAGAAATGCCAAAACAAGTGACAGTTTGGGTATTGAAATTTTCACCAAAACCTAAGCCTATAGCCTTGAAAAAATCGCATTTTTTCAAGGTCAAATTTATGTCTAAAATCTAGTCCAAAATGATTGCAAAGAACACTTAAATGATTTTAAGTTGATTATGAGCTCTAGCATCTACTAGAGATGGCAGAATAAGTGACAGTTTGGGGTTAAAAATTTTCACCAAAACCTAAGCCTATCGCCTTGAAAAAATCGCATTTTTTCAAGGTCAAATTTATGTCTAAAATCTACTCCAAAAAGATTGCAAAGAACACTAAAATGATTTTAAGTTGATTATGAGCTATAGCATCTACTAGAGATGGCAAAATGAGTGACAATTTGGGCTTAAAATTTTCACCAAAACCTAAGCCTATAGCCTTTAAAAAATCGCATTTTTTCAAGGTCAACTTTTTGTCAAAAATCTACTCCTAAATGATTGCAAAGAGCACTAAAATGATTTCAAGTTGATTATGAGCTATAGCATCTTCTAGAGATGCCAAAATAAGTGACAGTTTGGGGTTTGAAATTTTCACCAAAACCTAAGCCTATAGCCTTGAAAAAATCGCAATTTTTCAAAGTCAACTTTTTGTCAAAAATCTACTCCTAAATGATTGCAAAGAGCACTAAAACGATTTTAAGTTGATAATGAGCTATAGCATCTTCTAGAGTTGCCAAAATAAGTGACAGTTTGGGGTTTGAAATTTTCACCAAAACCTAAGCCTATAGCCTTTAAAAAATCGCAATTTTTCAAGGTCAACTTTTCGTCAAAAATCTACTCCTAAATGATTGCAAAGAGCACTAAAATGATTTTAAGTTGATTATGAGCTATAGCATTTTCTAGAGATGCCAAAATAAGTGACAGTTTGGGGTTTAAAATTTTCACCAAAACCTAAGCCTATAGTCTTGAAAAAATCGCAATTTTTCAAAGTCAACTTTTGTCAAAAATCTACTCCAAAATGATTGCAAAGAACACTAAAATGATTTTAAGTTGATTATG